ACACATGCACCTGGCATGTTTTTCAAGCCACCAGAGCTGGGGTTTGTACTGTGAAGCTGGCTATGTGGGATTTGGCTGTCTGAACCACCAGACCCTGGAACAAGCCCATCAACAGCTTTTGAACTGTGAAAATTATGTGAGAAGGGGTGAAGAGTGGTATGGAACTGGGATGTGTTCGACTCAAACTGTGGTCGACTATATGGGAGTTCAGTAACATAGCCATTACACCAACTTCTGGTCCCACTTTAGTAATTTTTTAAAAATTGAATCTTTTTTGTTTGTTCTTAAAATACTTTTTTCTGGGACCAGCAGGTGGTGTAGTAGTTAAGGCACTGGACTCCCACATGACCGACCATGGTTAGAGACCGGGCTTGTCAGGTTGAAAATCACCAGATGATGAATGGTCACATGACAATCCTTTTTTCTCCACTTCTCTCTCCTTTTGGGATTTTGGATACACTCACCTAGCATGTTTTTTAAGCCACTGGGTGCAGGATTTGAACTGTGAAGTCAGCCATGTAGTGTCCCGGCCCTCAGGACAGTCAAACAGGTTTCCTGAGGAAAGGAGTGAGAGACGGGATGAACGGCACACTGTCACAGCACGGAGATGACGCAGTGTCTCTTCAGGGTCATCTCTTTATTGTGGGTAACACAGAGACGACACAGTGTTCATGGTCGTCTGGAGACGACGACGCGGTGTCACAGCTCAGGGTCGTCCGGAGACAACACGGCACAGCTCAGGGTTGTCCGGAGACGACGCGGTGTCACAACTCTTCAGGGTCATCTGGCGATTATGGGCCAGGGATCATGGTTATATACATGTTGGTGGACCGTGATTGGTTGAATGAAAGATAGTAAAAGTGGGTTATGATTGGTTGCTTTGTGGACCAATCATGAGGTGCCGGATATGCAAATCTGAGATATTCTAAACTCACCGATTTGCTATGGGAAGTGGCCAATCAGAGTATGGTTTTGAAGGTGAGGTTGAGGTTTTTGAAGGGGAGCCAATTGTGGCCTTTGTAATTGTTTGCTCTCTGAGCCTAAGATGGCAATAGTAAGAGACTCATGAAAAATAGCCTCAGCAGACTCACTGGTGCACAGCCTCCCATAATGTAGGATCTAGCAGTCTTAACCACCATGCCACAGGGCTGGCCTGAACTATTTTATTTTTTTAATTTGCTGGAGGTATGAGCTTGCTGGGGAGAAACATGAAGATAATGAGAGAGAAGAAAAGTGAGAAAGTACCACTATGAGGGAAAGTCATGCCCTAATCCCTTTTTCATTCTCCTTTCAGGATTTTGGGGACACATGCACATGCACTAGCATGTTTTTTAAGCTGCTGGATGCAGGACTTGAACTGCACAATCTACCACTTGGGATCCAGTTGCCTTAACCACCATGCCACCAGCTAGCTCCTGAATTAAAAAAAAAAAATTGCTAGAGGGTACATACATTCACCAGAGAGAGACAAAATGAGAGAAAGAAAGCACACCCCTTAATGGGGCATGGTCATGCTGCATTCCATTCCCTTTTATTTCTCCATCTTGGAGGGATCTTGGCACATATGTACACATGCTGGGCATGTTTTTCAAGCCACCAGGTCTGGGACTTGAACTGTGTGGTTGACCACGGGGGATTCAGCTCTTTTAACTTCTAGTCCTCAAAAAAAAATTTTTTTTATTTTGAAATAATTTTAGTCTTTCAGAAAATTTGCAAAAATAGTAGAGTTCTTATATACCCTTTACCCAGGTTTCCTATATTTAACATTCACATAAAATTATGACAATTATCATAATAAAGAGATTAACACTGATATAGTACTATTAACTAGAATACAGACCTTACTCAAATTTCACTAAGTTTTCCAATTATTCTGTTCCAGGATTGAATTCAGAATCCCATGTTGCATTTAGTTATGTCTCCATAGTTTCCTCTAATTTCTGTCAGTTGTCTTCTGCTATCTCTCAGGACCTTGACAGTTTAAAAAAACTGAGTTCCATACTTTATTCTATTTTATTTAGTTAAAACCTGATTTTCATTTTTGTCACAGGATCCCATCTAGCATATATTATATTTAGTTATCACTAGGCCTTTCTGACAGTTTCTCAGGTTTTTCCTTGTTTTTGATGACCTGGACAGTTTTGAGGAGTATTAGTTAAGTATTTGGTATAATATCCTTTAATTTGTGACTGTCTGCTATTTTTCTCATGATTAGGTTAGTGTTATGAATTTTGGAGAATTAAAGGAAAAAGGCTTGTAGCATGACCAGGTCCTGTTGGTGGGGTATTTGCTTGGTTTCTCTCTCTTTATCTTATCACGTTCATGTGCCCCAGGGCAAAAAAAAAAAAAGAGAGAGAGAGAAAAATTAGTGAGTTAAGCTCTATCTCCTTGAGGGCAAAGTATCTATATAAATTACTTGGAATTGTGTATGGGAAACATGCCCTTTATTCATTTTACTGATTCATTTACAGTGATATGAACTCATGAAGGTTTTTTAAAATATATTTTATGTCATAATCCAATACTAGGTTAGTTATTTTATTGCTCAAATTATTACCAACCTTGGCAAGTGGGACTCATTTCAGTTGGCTCTTGTGCCCCTTTAACAAATGTCATTCAGTTTGCTTTTTGAGCACTTCTTTAGTCTTTGGCACTACAAGAGTACTTTTTTTTTTTTTTGTAATCAGATTTAATATAATTGGGCATATGATATAACCTTTTACTATAAGAGCAATATGGGGGGCTGGCAGGGTGGCATGGTGGTTAAGGGCGCTGGATTCCCACATGGCTGACCACAGTTCAAGTCCTGTATCTGGCGGTTTGCTTTTTCACTTCCTCTCTCTTTCTTTTTCTCTCTGTGTCTCGCTCTGGTCAAACTAAAATATAACAATAATGATAAATAATATAAAGGAAATAATTCTTTAAAAAAAATAAAGGAGCAATATGGTGAGTCAATAAATATTAAGCACACATTCACTGGTAACCAGGACTTTTTTATTGAGTTGTTTCAAGTTCAGTTACCTATTAACATCTTATTTTTAGCTTAGTTTAGAAGTTAGCCAATGATATTTTTAAAATGTGCCTTTCATTTTAAGAGGACTTGGCTTTTAAATTATTTTTAAAAAGAATTATTTACTTAATTTTATTTATTCATTCATTTGCTTTAATTTGACCAGAGAACCAGAGAGAGAGAAAGAGAGAGAGAGGGAAAGTGAGAAAGCAAGCCATCATGTCCGGAATTCAAACCGTGGTCTGCCATGTGGGAGTGTCTAGTGCCTTAACCAGCACGCCACCCACTAGTCCCAGCCAATGATGCTTTTATAACCTTACATATTATAAGTAGTATGAGAGAATCAATGAATTTAGAATTATACACTTAAAAAAAAATTTGCTGTAGGGTACATACACTCATCAGAGAGAAAGGGAAAGTGAGAAAGCATCCCTCCTCCAGGGGGAATGGCCATGCATAATCCCTTCTCTTTGAATTTTGGGCATGCCTGCATATATACCTAGTGCATTTTTTCAAGCCACAGGGTCTGGAACTTAAACTGTGTAGTTGGTTATGCAGAATCTGTCTGCCTTAATTCTCAAAGGACTTTTCTCCAGGTAAATGAAGTGAAATGGCAGGCAGTTGTCCAAATAGTTATGTAATTAAGAAGTTGTAGGGCTCATATTTCTTATTCTCTTACATATATTTGTATTAGGACAGACGATACTTTCTAATGTTGTTCTTTCAGCTGTTCAAATTTATCCTTTTGTTAATTAATAGGCAGCAATCCAAAAATTTATGAATAGATTGTACCACAGCTATTTATGAGAATACAGTTGACTGGTACTTCCAATATCATTCTTCATGAAGTCCAGTGTGCCTGGCAGTTAACAGTTAGTTAACTTGTTCATGAAACAACAGAGCAAAACCACAAATGAGAAAACAAAACCATCAGCTTTACTGGAAAGTAAAACCAAGTCCTTCTTTCCATTTCATTTGCTCTGTTTTTCAGAACTACAGTGTTAACATTAAAAAAAAAAGAAAGGTAAAACCAGAATGCCCATACATTTAGTTATTATCATTTCTAACTTAACACATAAATGACCTCTTCAAATTCTTGTTAGCTAGCCCCCTGGGAAGTGAGGAGGGAGTGATCTGGAGAAAGTTAAGAGTGAAGGTAGATTATCTGTTGATGACCGTATGTATGGTCATATCCTTGACTGGATTAACATACAGTGTATTCATGCTGGGAAAATTTATTTTCTCTATTTTAAACATATACGGTGATTGAAGTAAAAACTAAGAAAAAAGATGGAGGAAGATAAACTTTTTTTTTGGGGGGGGGGTCATACTATAATGGCTAGAAGCTACTATGACAGTTCCTAAGATAAAATTTTGTTGGATCCTAACATGGGAACTAAGATAAAAAAAGGACTGCTTATTAAAAAATACCAAATTTCACAAACGAGTTGAACCTTTTGGCCTATGCTAGATTATTAAAATGACTTATGAGCCTAAAAAGTTGAAGATAGTTTCTTTATTGTGAAAATAATTTGTTGCTTAAGAGAAAAGAGTAAAAGCAAACAGGTATTAGGTACACTAGTGAATACCAAATGGAACAAAATGAAGTATCTACATATCTTTTCTTAGATACCTACAGCTATTATGACATCATTATTCTTCTTATCTCTAAGGAAACATATTTAGTTATACTATTTATTTTTTTTTAAAGACTCTTTATTTAATTTATTATTATTAATTATTCTTATTTTTAAATTTGCTATAGGGCAAATGCACTCACCAGAGAGACAGAGAGAGAGGGAAAGTGAGAAAGCAACCACTAGGTCTGAGACGCAAACCATGGTTAGCCATGTGGGAATCCAGTGCCTTAACCACCCACTGGTCCCAATTATACTATTTATAACAAACAAAAATTGGGCTTCTAATAGTAAAACCGATCCCATCAGAGGAAGATTTACACAGATTCAATCATTCCTTACACAGATACCAGTTTATGCTCCCAGGAGATTAAAGAAAAAATTATTAAACAGCTTTCACCTGTCAAGAACTATGCTAAGGACATAAAGAGTACCCAACTCTAGAGATTACTGGAAGGAAAAAGTAATGAGTCATGAAAGGAAGGGAGATGAGTCAATAAAAATGAAAAACTATGATTTCACTATAGGACAAAGAAGATAGAGGATTGGTGCTTTTAAAAAAAATGAAAGATTACTGGATGTTATGAAGGTGACAATCATTCAATCTAGGGTTTCGAAGACATCAAGATTCTCAATGAAAGCCAGGGCAATAACAACAGGACTGTTAAAAATAAGCCATAATTATAGCAAATAAAATAACAGCCAGCATAAACCTTCCCATTGTCATTACTGAAGTTTTGGAATTACTCTTTTCAATTGCTCTTGTCATCATAGGCTTCCTGATACGATCTTCTGTGGTAAGGATAGCTTTTCGAGCCCCATGCCATTTTCCAGGGCCCTGGAGACGATACTGGATTGGAGTACAGGGTCCCAGGAATAAGTATAATGCCAGCTTGGGGTCAGTGAAGGCCAGCGACAGCAGATTGGGCCTGACCCCCACCAAATCAGCAATCTCTTCCATGGTCTCTATATAGTCTCCCTGAATGGTATGACGTTGGCTTTCCACATACCTGAAGTAGAAAAGACAGAAGCCATGATCTATCAACAGTTCAATCAATCAATTGATCAGTGCTTTCTCAGTGCCTGTTATTGACTCAATACTGAGCTAGAAGCTGTGGAAAATAGAGAAGAAAGATATTTGTCATTGTCCTTAAGGATCTTATAATCTACTGGAGGAGATAAAAGATATACATGGGGACCAGCAGGTGACATGGTGGTTGAGGTGCTGGATTCCCACATTTGAGTACTGTTTGAGTCTTGGGTCCAGCAGCTTGAAATACACTGGGCTCATGTATGTGTATGCCCAGAGCCCTGGTAAGAAAATGGAGGAGAAGAGACTGTAGTGTGGCCATCCCCCTGGGCGGTGGTTTCTTACTTTCCCTCTTACTGTCTCTCTAGTAAACACACACACACACTTATGGAAAAAAACTTTTAAAAAGCAAACAAGGAAACAAAAAACAGATATACAGGAAGCAGAAATTATACGACTCTGAGTAATGATGTGGTTTTAGACTGCTAGATAGAAATGTAGAGAGGAAGTAGCTAAAGAGCTAGAATAGGTCCTTGAAGGATATGAAAGATACAGACATGATGTAAAGACAAAGGGAAGGAATATGTTACAAGCCAGTGGATGGTAGCATACAGGAATAAAGCAGGAAAGGGCATAAACATGAGCATGGCTATCAGTGAGTATTACCTGCAGCAGATGAAGCATGTAATGGAAAACAAGAATAGATATACAGAGGTGGGAATCCAGATACAGAGGATCCGATGTTATGAGAAAGAACTAATGACCAATATTCTCTCTTTTTTTAAGAGGTTTTTTTTTTTTTTTTTTGCCATAAGATATGTGCATTTGCCTGAGAGAGACAGAGACAGTGAAAGGGAAAGTGAGAACTTAACTCCCCAAGGGAGGATAGAAGCATTGCAATCCCTTCTCTTCTATTCCCCTCCTCGGATCTTGGGTACACAAGCACATGTGCCTGGTGTGATTTTCAAGCCACCAGCCATGTGGGAGTCCAGCAACACAATTACTACGCCATCTGCTGGTTGGTCCCACAATATTCTTAATTTGGGGAGCCTCAATTATTTTATGAGGGCAGCAGTGATGGGGTTCACAGAACAGGACTTCCCAGAGCCAATGTTAATTTGAAATCCTGAAAGGATAAGGAGGATGACTTTTCCTACAAAAGGAAGTGGCTCTCTAAGTGGAGCCAAATGGAATGATTACAAGTGCAGATTTGAGGATCTACGGACTTTAGGGAGGAAATTTACATGTTTTACTTTCTAAAAAGGAAAGAACAGTGGAATAGAAAGAAAGTGGGAGAAAAGTCAAGCTAATTGAGATTGAGAAATCAGAAAATAAAAATAGGAAAAAAAATGATAGAAAAATACATTTCAGGTAGAACTAGTGAGATGGAATTCCAGAGCTGCTGCCAGATGGTCAGAACTTTATCAAAATGGAACTAGAGTTTAGGAAAGAAGACAAGATAGGAAATACTTTGACGGCTTTCCCTTATGGATGTTATAATTGGCTCAAGAGCTTGTAAGGATGCATTTATTTATCCTAAAGTACTAGGTCAAGAATTGTAGTATTCATGGCTTCACAAGAGAGATTCACTAATTCCTGCATTGTAGAATTGTTATGAGGATTAAATAAGCTCATGCTTAAAAAACACTTATTGTGGGACCAGCAGTTAGCGTAATGGCTATGTCGCTGGACTCCCATGTAGTCCACTGTGATTTGAGTCCCAGACTTGGTGGTTTAAACTCATGCCAGGAGCATGTACGTGCATGCCCAAGATCCTGAGGAGAATGGAGGAGAAGGGGTTGTGGTGTAGCCATCCCCCCTGGGGGATGATTTCTCATTTTCTGTCTCTCTGTCTCTTTCTGGTGAGCGCACGCGCCCTATAGCAAAAACCTTTCCCCTCCCCCCCCAAAAAAAACACTTAATATGAGAACATAGTTGACCTTCAATGAAGGTTAAATTATATCCTTGGGTACTGCTTACAGTCAGAAGGTGGTTAGACAAAAATAAGTCAAAGGAAAGAGAGGAGTAAAGTTGAAATAATATAATTCAGTGCCAGAAAAGAAAGAAAGCATTCCAAGAAGGAAGAGATATTTCAAAGTAACAAATACAGTAGTGAGAGGGAAGAAAATGAAATTGGTCATGGATGACCTTCAAGAGAGAAGTTTGAAGAGTAAGAATGGAAGTTTCAATGCAAGGGGCTTAGGAGAGAGCAAAGAGTAAGAATTTGAAGAATATATCACACACATTTGGCAGTGAAAGGTAAGAGAAAAATAGATGAGCACCTGGAAAGAAAAATAAGGTGAAATAGAAACTTTCTATTCCTTCCTGATAGAGGAGGGTTATACTATTAAACTCAGTTGAAGAAAATCAGTCTTTAGAACTAGAATGATTGTGTCTCTGACTTTTCCACAATAATTCGGCAACTAACATCAACATGCACTTTGTCCAAATAAAAAACACCTAGTGATTAGTTCAGGTTTTGAAATTCAGACTCCTAAATTACCATTCACCAAAATACTAAGCAGCTGGCTGATGTTACCACTTTCACAAATCGTGCTGACTATTCATGCCATAAGCCACTGTGACCTAACTGTATTGTAACATGATGGCAGCCAGCATTGTGGTCATTGAAGATTTGTAAATCAACCTACACATTTGCAGTTTGACCATATCTACCTCTCACTGATTCAATGCCACTCTTCCTCACTTTGGCAGCTTTACCAATATTTCAAGTAATCCTCACAAAAAGAATACACCTAATTTTCTCTCCATGGGATTTTTTTCTTGTTTGACTTTTAGGCCCTAAATACAGGATTTTTTTTTTTTAGAGAGAGATTTTTTGTGGGGGCCAGCAGGTGGCATGGTGGTTAAGGGCACTGAACTCCCACATGGCCTACTGCAGTTAGAGTCACAGACCTGGCTGCTTACTTTCTCACTTTCCCTCCCCGCCCCCCATTCTGTCCCTCTCTGGTCAAATTAAAATCCTCTCTGGTCAAATTAAAAATAAAATAAAATAATAAAATAAAATAAATAAAAGAATTCTTTAAAAAAAATAAGAGATTTTTGCTATAGGGCACGTGCACTCCTGGAGAGACAAAAGTAAGAAATCACCCCCTAAGGGGGATGGCCACACCACAGTCCTTTCTCCTCATTTGTTCTCTTGGGATTTTGGGCACACATGCACATGCACCTGGCATGAATTTCAAGCCTCCAGGTCTGAGAATTGAACCACTGTCAGCCATGTGGGAGTCCAGCGACATAACCATTACACTATCTGCTGGTCCCCTTAAACAGAATTTTAAACACTTTTCTTAAGCTTTTTTCTCCTTTCACTTCCATAGTCAAACTACTAGTGCTTTTTCGCCATCCTTTTGCCACAAACTATTAATTCCTTTTCTTCCAAAATATAATCTAAATCCTTAAGCTGTCAGAAGAAAGCTAACTGTAGTACAATAATACTCCTACTAAAATATAGAGGGGCCAGAAGTGACACTGTGGTAAAAAAACAACACTCTGTGAGGCAGTCTCACATAAAAAGGTTCTCTCTTGTGGGTGCAGAGAACCAGAGTATGCTAGGGACATTCTTGCCCTTGACCCGTGACTGGCTGCAGCCTGGGGGTGGATTACAGTACTGGAACCCTGTTGGGAATGCTCTCTCTTTTTTCTTTCTGTCTCTCTAGCTTATGGAAGAAATAAATTTTAAAAGAGAGAGAAATAAGTAGGAAAAAAGCACCTATCTATCTTATTGGGAAAATTTCTTACCTTTTTTTCATTTCCTCTTGAGCCTTAGATATTTCTGACATCATTTCACTTTGTGAGGGCAGTGTCTTTAGTCCTAAAGAGAAAAATTTTAAGTTTAAGTATAAATTTTTTTTTTGGAACAATAATCCAATTAACAATGACTACGCTATGGAGAATTCAAAGAAATACAGGATAGTTTCTGTACTCAAGGGAGTTAACAATTCACTTGATCATCTTACCCTGTCGCCACCACAGTACAATGATGTTAGCATCTCTAACTTGGCATATTCTATTGACACTTTGTCTTTGTAAGCTATTTCTCCTACTCTGCTTATACCTGCCTCCTTCCTAACATTGTCTTTCCGTTGAGAAATGAAATGTAATATGGACATGAGGAAATGATAAATGGCCTTAAAAACACATGCAAAATTAGGTACAAAGTAAAAGAGCATGGGAATGGGGGAACACACCTGTACCTGAACCCTTGATAACAAAGAGGCTTTGGACCAGCAGTTAGCGTAATGGCTATGTTGCTGAACTCCCATGTAGCTGACCATGGTTCAAGTCCCGGACCTGGTGGCTTAAACTCACACCAGGCGTGTGTGCATGCGTGCCCAAGATCCTGAGAGGACAATGGAGGAGAAGGAATTGCAGTGTGGCCATCCCCCCGGGGGGTGATTTCTCACTTTCCTTCTCCAAAAAAGAAGATATGAGTGCTTAGTACCCACTGCTTCCATAGCACCACCTCTACATCGATGTTGGAGCATCTGTTCAGAATACAGTAAATATCTGCTGAACAAACAAACACATTATATGTCTGTTTTCTTGTCTGCCTTACTTGCTTGACGCTGAGTTCCATAAAGATAGTCATTTTCTGGTTGGCCATATTTGTATCTCCAGCACCTGAGGGCCTGGTACATACTAAGTGGTCAGTAAATGTAAGCTGAACAGTGTTGTTGGACACAGTGGGGAATTGAAATTCAGGAATTTTTCCAAGCCAAGGTGAGAAGGAAGAGAGCTCAAATGACAGCTCTGTGACAGTATGCCTTTCATTCTTCTCTCAGGAAGACTATATATGTGTAATCCTGATTTGTCCTTGCACATTTCAGTGAAAACATAACGAGAGAAGAGATATGGCTGCCATTCTGCAGTTCTAGTCCAGTCCAACTTTTCTTTTTTCATTTTGCTATAGGGTGCATGTACTCTCCAGAGAGTAAGAGACAGAGAGAGAGAGAGAGAGAGGGAGGGAGGAAGTGAGAAAGTACCCCCTAGGGAGGATGACCACACCGCAATCCCTTGTTCTCCACTATCCTCTTGGGACTTTAGGCACATGTGCACACGTGCCCTATACGTTTTTCAAGGCCCCAGGTCTGGGACTCAAACCATGCAGTCAGCTATGTGGGATCCAGCCACCATGCCAGCTGGCGGCCCAGCCCAGTCTTTCATCATGAGTAGAAATTGAGTAAAGTAGTTCATAAGCTGAGATCCTCAAATAAGTTTCTACTACAGAGTTTCGAACATCATTTATCTCAATGCTGAACTGGTATTTGTTTGAACAGACATTTATTAGATATCTTTTATGTGCTATGCTTTGAATACAAAGGCAACTCCACATTTGATTCCTTCATTTTAAAAGCTTTCAATATTCTACTAAGAGAGGGAGCAATTATATGCATAGGGTATTTCTGTACAGTAAGACCTAAAGGAAAGGCATAGTAAAAAGAACTGCAGAAGCAAAAGCACAGGGTATGAGGGTCCCTGCTGTGTTTGACTATTAGTGGGTAAGTCATCCAGTGCATCTAGGAGATTGTACAATGTATAACAAAGACTAGTGAAAGATGAGTCTGGAAAAGCAGACTGTTCCCAATTTGTGGAGGGACTTGAATGCCATACTTTAACATACCACCTTCTGTAATCCAGAGAATTGGCAGCACTTGATATGGTTTTCTTTCTTTTTTCTTTTTGCTATAGGGCACATGCGCTCGCCAGACAGAGAGACAGAAAGTGAGAAATCACTCCCCAGGGGGATGGCCATGCCGCAATCCCTTCTCCTCCATTCTCTTCTTGGGCTCTTGGGCATTCCCCTCTCCTCCATTGTCTTCTTGAGATCTTGGGCACACATGCACACGTGCCCGGCGTGAGTTTTAAGCCACCGGGTCCGGGACTCGAACCGTGGTTGACTATGTGGGAATCCAGCAACATAGCCATTATGTTAACTGCTGGACCCAGAACTTGATATGGTTTTCAAGGAAAGAAAGTTGCTGAGTGAGAGCAGAATACTTGTGAGAGCTGCAAAAGAGGCAAAGGAAAAAGAACCTAGGTTTCAACAAGGCAAGGAAGTAGGGTCAATGTTCTAGAAAAGGATGGAATATTTTCTTGACAAAAGAACAACTCCAGAGAGTAAAGGCAGGAGGAAAAAACAACTTGGTAGGGGAAGGACAGGCCAGAGATGGAGGCAGGCTGAGTTGGGCAGACATGAAAGAATAGGAGAAACTAGTCAACACTATTTGTAATGGACACCGTGAAGGCAGAATTCAGGAATGAGAAAGGCAAGAATTTGGTAGGTAGACACGTAAGCCCATGGATATGATGAAAAACTCAAGGTTTCTATTGGAAGTTTGATAAAGTTATAGGAACTTGTCTGAAGAGTTCTGAGTATTCAAAGAAAACTGGAGGAATTAGCACTAGCTTCCGCTGCATAGGAAACTGAACTGTTGTACATTTTTCCCACAGTCCTCTAATCCATAATCATAATGCAAACTCTTCCACATGCTCTTTTTCCCTGTTCCTATTCACAGTTCACTTAGTCATGAAATAACCCCAGTATATATAGTATACAAAGATGCTGTTGGCCATTTTATGGAAACTTTCTCCCTTTATTTAATTCCCCAATTTAAAAAAAATCCATTTAAGATGGTTAGAATAAAGACAACCTAATGGAATTCTTGCATTTGATTGTTGGTTCAGTGCTTTCAGGTGTACATGATCTACTGAACAGGATTTTAAGGAATTAAGAAACATTAGAAATTTTGCAAAATTAGGAAAGATTTTTGATCTATCAGTTTTAACACACTGCTGCTGCTTTTTCTTCTTCTTTTTTTTTCCCCCTCTGCTACCATGAAGATCTTCACTAGTGAGGAGAAAGCTATAATTCCAACAAGAACTCTGAATAATTTTATCTAAACATTAATAATGACAGAAATTTTTATTATAGTAGCTATAGAATCAAATAATTTCTTCTTTATAAAACTATGAAGGGGACGGGACCAGAAGTTGGCGTAATGGCTATGTCACTGGACTCCCATGTAGTCAACCGCAGGTGGAGTCCCGGACCTAGTAGCCTAAACTCATGCCAGGCACGTGTGTGTGCGTGCCCAAGACCCTGAGAGGAGGATGAGGGAGAAGGGATTGCGGCATGGCCATCTTCCTGGGGGGTGATTTCTCCCTTTCTGTCTCTCCGTTTCTTTCTGTCTTTCTGATGAGAGCATGCGCCCTATAGCAAAAACCTCTCCAAAAAAAACTATGAAGGAGAGCCGGCAGGTGGCATGGTGGTTAAAGGTGCTGGACTCCCACATGGCTGACCGCAATTCAAGTCCCAGACCTGGCGGCTTGCTTTCTCACTTGCTCACTCGCTCCCCTGCCCCCCACTCTGTTTCCTCTCTGGTCAAATTTTTAAATAAATAAATAAATAAATAAATAAAGTTAAATAAAATGATTCTTTTTTTTAAAAAAAAAAAACACCTATGACGGTTGAGATCAGCAGATGGTGTAATGGTTATGTTGCTGGACTCCCACATGGCCGACTGTGGTTCAAGTCCTGGACCCAGTGTCTTGAAACTCATACCATGGGCATGTACATGTGTGCCCAAAATCCTGAGAGGATGGAGGAGAAGGGATTTGCAGCATGGTCATTTCCCCAGTGAGGGGGGGGATGAGTTTTAATTTTCTATCTGTCTCTCTAGTGAGTCTACTTGCCCTAAAGCAAAAAAATCTCTCTAAAAGAAAAAAATAAACTATGAAGGCCATCTGATTTCTCTCTATTCTGAAGCTTGAATCTACTCTATAACCTTCTGCCCATAAGACCATCCAGACATTAGGCATCTTTTTCCTATTCAGCTTGGATTCCTCATAATTTCAGAGGCAGCCCATTCCATCTCAGAGTAGTATAGGCTGATAGGAAAATATATATATATTTTTAAGTGTAAAACTGATATTGTGCAACCTTCAAGATTTCATGTTTATGTTCTAGATTAGAACCTTTGAAGCTATGCTAAATAAATCTAATCCTTCTTCCATAGGCCATCCCGTCGAATATTTGAGAGAGCTCTCCTATCTCCTCTGAACTTTATCTTCTCCAGGCTAAACTTATCCAGTTTCTTCAGTTGTACTTCAAATGGCACATTTTCAAATCCCTTAAACCATTCTCTCTCTCCTTATTTAGTGCATTCCAACTTCATTTTTAAAATATGTCTTTGGGACAGATGTACTTAAGGGGAAAGTTTAAAAGAATTTGCCACATAAATGGTTGCAGATATAAGTAGTTGCAGAATTTAAGTGGGTTGGGACCAGCAGTTAGCGTAATGGCTATGTCGCTGAACTCCCACGTGGTCGACCGCGGTTCGCGTCCTGGACCCGGTGGCTTAAACTCACGCCGGGCGTGTGTGCATGCATGCCCAAGATCCCAGGAGGAGAATGGAGTAGAAGGGATTGCAGCGTGACCATCCCCCCTGGGGGGTGATTTCTCACTTTCTATCTCTCTGTCTCTGTCTGTCTGGCGAGCGCACGCGCCCTATAGCAAAAAACCTCTCCAAAAAAAAAAAAAGAATTTAAGTGGGTTAAGGAGACTGAAAATGACCTACTGTTTCAATAGTGTTTTGGTAATATGTTTGTACAAATCATACTTACAATAACATACACACACACATACTTATACTGTGATATCACATACTTACTGAAAGGAATAACAAATATTAAAATACATATATATTAAAATATGTCTTTGGATGTTATCTGTCATCTATAGAGAATAATTGTCATGTTCTAGGACATCACAATTTGTTAATGATGCTAAATTAAATTAAGTTTTGGAAGCCATAACATTCTGCTGACTCATATTGACCCTACTATCCCAAACCCCAAAGTATTTTTTTCTCATATATTCTTAACCAAACTAAAAGAGAGGACCTAAGTGGTGAAAGTGAAAATGTGAGTGAGTATTTTACATTCTGGACTTGTCTCAAACTCGGTCTTAATTTTTGGCTGAAATCAAGCCAAACCATAGGGAGCAGCCCAGATCTGAGCAAACATGGTGACCTTTAGACACATGTAGAAACACGGTTCCATGGGCAGTCATTTGCAAGGCAATGAACACAACTAACATGTGAATACGCTAGCTCCCTCTATGTTCCAAAATTCCAGAGCACAGTATTGGCTAAAGGAAGTCACGTGTTAATCAGAATGGGCCTGCAAATACAAGAGAAAACTTACATAGAACTACATGTGCCAGGTGTCTTTGCATCTTCCACCACTTAACATCTAAAAACAACTGGCTTTGCATTCCACTTCCCTTCCCCGCTTTTCTGCCCTTTAAAAGAATAAACCTGGGAATAGTCTGGGGCTTCCGCTGCCTCCATCAGAGGAGTATGAACCACCCAATCCTCACTTTTCTCTACATATATGTCTTTGTGTGTTTATGTTTATTTTCTAATCCGCAGCTGCCCACCCCCAGAGCACGTGCTCATTCGTTTATTTTCTAATCCGCAGCTGCCCACCCCCCCAGAGCACGTGCTCATTCAGCCGTGCGAGACATAGCATTAAAGCATTTTGTTTATTTTCTAATCCGCAGCTGCCCACCCCCAGAGCACGTGCTCATTCAGCCATGCGAGACATAGCATTAAAGCATTTCTATAGTTGATTCTCTCTATCTGTAATTAAAGGAAATGAAATTCTTTTACTTCAAAAATACAGACCATTTATCTAAAATCTAGATGGGTGGGTTGTAGGCTGGAGCACATAGTGGAATCACCTGAGAAACATTTTTTTTCAAAGATTTTATGCTACCCAGGAACTATTAAAATATCACTAGTATAGGATCAAAGCACGCCTAGTTTGAAAAAATTTCCCAAGTGATTCTGATGTATGTCCATGGTTAGAAATTACCACCTTAGAGTCACTCAAAAAATAAATTCGTGCTAGCCACCATTATATACATACATAGATAATGCTGTCTCTAGCTATTGAAAAGCAAGTACATAAACAGAACTAAACATACCACTAAGAATTAAGTAGTCAGTTTGCGTGGTTACTTACCTTTAAATACTTGAGTGGCCCAGCGTCCTTGGAGCTCGGCAATAGGCATAATGGCTCCCAGAGGCTGGATTAAGCCTATGATTGCAAGAGTTGGCTTTTCCAGGTTAGGGGGGAAGACCTTTTTGTACAAAGATATCTTGTTTTTGACCACTTTCACTGAATCGTCAAGAAAAGGAAAGTCAAAGCTATAGCCTGTAGCAAAGATCACAGCATCAATGTTATCTTCCCTGGAGCCGTCCTCGAATATGGCTGCTGTCTCTGTGAATTCCTTCACATTTCCTTTCACCTTCACCAAGCCAGAAATGATACGATTTGGCAGGTCATCATTTACTGTTGGATGCTGACTCAGAGCTCTGTGAATGGTGATAAAGACCAAGAGATGGAGAAAAGAGTGATTGTGGGGAGATAGAGAAATCATTTCCATGTAAGTAAAATTTTGCTTTGGTGGAGGTGATTAAACACTATGCCAATGGACTTCTCTTTGGACTATTCGTGAAATTTGGGAAAGGTCCAATTTACACCAGCTTGACACAGATCAGGATCTCAAAGAAGAATTTGGACCCTGGATGGCACTAAAAGAAAATATTGGAGGAATGGTAAAAAGAGTCTTATTGAGGGGGGGTATATGTATATTTTTAACTAATATTTTGTGATATAAGGCCACAAGCCACATATCAAAAAGTCTGACCCACTAGCCTGAACATTCTATTCAGTCTCTTTTCCAGTTTCAAAAGCCTAAGAGCTATACTTAGATAATCATTTTCCAAACTGTAATAAAATATATGTGTATATCAATTTACCATTTATAAATTTCTTTTACCTATCTTATTTGAGACTTACACAAGAGGAAGGAGGCTGGAGAAGTCTTATTATCCAGGTTTTATAGATGAAGACACTTGAGGTTAAATGAACTGTCCAGTGCTATACAGAACTGGATTTTAGAATTTATGACAAAAGTGTTTTTGAACTCTCTAGGCATACCTTGGGCCTATCATTTCATGTTTCCTAGGGACAGCATAGAACAAGGTTGCAAAAGAATAATAATAAATAAGGCATGTTTCTAGTATCCTGGATCTTTCTAAAAGGTAGTCTTAATTCCTTAGTCCAAAATAAATAGATTCCGCAAATAATCTGCCTGTCATCTTCAGACAGAGCTGTGCTAGCCTCAGGAATATTATATGTGTAAACAGGTATTACTGGTTTGTTGTATTTCATTGTTCTTTGACTATAATTGTTAGGTAGATTCTGTTCTGCATTCCTACTTCATGATTTCATCTTTCTGTCTGTATCTACTCCTGTTCACTAACAGTACCATCACCCACATAGTTGACCATGTCACAAAATTGTGACTCTCATATCTAGTCATCAAGACTTTTCCCTTTTTCCCATTAACATCTCAGAATGGTTTATCTACTTCCTATTTCAGTTGGATTATTACAGGGCATGTGCGCTCGCCAGACAGACAGAGAGAGACAGAGACAGAAAGCGAGAAATCACCCCCGGGGGGGATGGCCACACCGCAATCCCTTCTCCTCCATTCTCCTCTCGGGATCTTGGGCACGCACGCACAAGCGCCCGGCGTGAGTTTTAAGCCACCGGGTCTGGGACGCGAACCGCGGTCGACTACATGGACGCGAACCGCAGTCGACTACATGGGAGTCCAGCGACATAGCCATTATGCTAAAAGCTGGTCCCTACATTTCTTTTATTTTGGAGAGCTTTTTGCTATAGGGCATGTGTGCTCACCAGAAAGACAGAGACAGAGAGACAGAAAGCAAGAAATCACCCCCCAGGGGGGATGTCCACGCCGCAATCCTTTCTCCTTCATTCTTTTCTCAGGACCTTGGGCACGCCTGCACATGCACCTGGTGTGAGTTTTTAGTTGTCAGGTCTAGGACTCGAACTGTGGTTGACTATGTGGGAATCCAGTGACAATCATTACGCCATCTGCTGGTCCTAAGATTCATTTCTTGAGTCTGCTATTTATTACTCGTGTTGATCTGTAGAAACTTAATGACATGTTTTTCTATGCAAAAATGCATCTTGACTTTCCCAACAACCCAATATAAAATGGAGATGAAACAGTACCAAGCTATAAGCCTATTGTAAATATTAAGTGAGACAGCTGTAAATATTAAGTGAGACAATGCATGCAACTCTCATTTAGCACTGTGCTTGTCCTATAGAAAGTCTAAACAAAAATAATTTGTTATCATATGTATTAGTATTACTAGTGAGTCTTTTCTTTCTGTGTTTCATGGCCACTATAATTCCTGGCCCACAGCAAATGCTCGATGTTTCTTGGATGACTGAATGAATGATACAATACCATCTGCCACCATGTTGTTACTATCGGTCATCATGTAAGAACTGACACTTAAGGAAATGAGAAAATGGCTAATGCCAAGGAGAATCCTAGATTGCAAACTTACCAGACCTGCAGATCTTAGACTTTGATCTAAGACTTTGGGGGACAAGGTAGATATCTGATTTCAAAGTCTGTGGCTTTTCTTAATGTATGGGTAGCTCTAATTTTTTTCTTAGATTTTTTGCTATAGACTAAGTGTGTTCATGCGAGAGACAGGGAGACAGAGAGTGAGAAATCACCTAGCAGGGGCCTGGCTACACCGTAATCCCTTCTCCTCCATTTTCCTCTCAGGACTTTGGGCACACATGCACACTCGCCGGTGTGAGTTTCAAGCCACCAGGTCCAGAACTCAAACTGGCTGGCTATGCGGGAGTCTGTGATGTAACCATTGCGCCATCTGCTGGTCCCAGTGTATGGGTAGATCTACTATTAGCCTGTGTAAATAGCTCTTCTTCACATGACTTGGCCATCACCACTCTATGCACATCCTAGGAACATACCTGTGTTTAGGCTTCAGGCCAAACATTTCGTGGTCAAATCTTTGGTTCATCTTTCTTTCCAAATACGCATTTTTAAGTGATTGGCTACACATCTTCGTCAAAAAATATTTAAATCGAGATGAGAACAATACATCAAAAGGATATCCATGATCTCCTACACGATTCAGGATCCAAGCCCCTCTCCTGGTACTAAGGAAAACCTGTAGCACGGAAAAAATTGTTCGCTTATGTCATGTCACTCTAGCTCACAAATCTTCAAAAGTATTGGTTTTCTTTAAAATCAAATTTAAATTCATTAGTCTGGCTTCTTAGTCCTTCTACAATCTTTTCTTTTCTTTTTTAATTTCCAACCACTTTCCATTCCTGAACACTAAGTTTACAATTAAACTCGTATATTGACTTTTTTTGAGAGAAATTTTTGCTGTAGGGCACGTGCACTTACCAGAGACACAGAGAAAGAGAGATAGAAAACAAGAAATCCTCCCTTAAGGGGATGGCCATGCCACAATTCCTTCTCCTCCATTCTCCTCTTAGAATTTTGGGCATGCATGGATATGGAGTGAGTTTTAAGTCCCTGAGTCTGGAACTGGGATCTGAGGTTGCCCATGTGGAAGTCCAGTGACACAATCATTGCACTATTTGCTGGGCTCATGTATATTCAGTTCTAAGACAATGTCTTGTTCTTGGGGTGAGCAGGTGGTGTGGTGGTTAAGGGTGCTAAGCTCCCACCTGGCTGACCATGGTTCGAGTCCCAAACCTGGGGTCTTGCTTTCTTACTTTCCCTCTTTCTCTCTCTCTTTCTCTCTCTCTCTCTGTCTGTCTCTCTGGAAATATTATAATAATAAAGTTAAATAAAATAATTTAAAAAAATATTTCTCATTCTGATCCACCACTGCATTTTTTTTTTTTTGAGAGGTTTTTGCTATAGGGCATGTGTGCTCTTTTTTTTTATAGGATGCGTGCACTTGCCAGAAAGACAGAGATAGAAAGCGAGAAATCACCCCCCGGGAGGATGGCTATGCTGCAATCCCTTCTTCTCCATTCTCCTCTTGGATCTTGGGCATGCACGTACATGCGCCTGGCGTGAGTTTAAGCCACTGGGTCTGGGACTTGAACTGCAGTCGACTACATGGGAGTTCAGCAACATAGCGATTACACTAACTACTGTTCCCAACCACTGCATTTTTTAATGCTGTTGTGCTTGCCTAAAAAGCCCTCTCTTCTCTTAATTCTACAAAGTGTATGCATTTTTAAAAAGAATTATTTATTTATTTATTTATTTATTTTATTTGTTATTATTTTTTAATTTGACCAGAGAGAGACAGTGAGAGGAAAGGAAAGTGAGAAAACAAGCCACCAGATCCAGGCTCAAACCAAGGTCGGCCATGTGGGAGTCCAGCACCTTAACCACCACACCTTCTGCCAGCCTCAAACCTATGTATTTTTTAAGTGTTATTTATTTCATTTTATTTATTACTAGTAATATTTTTTTAATTTGCTATAGGGCACATTTAGTCACCAGAGAGACACAAAGAGAGGGGAGGGAAAGTGAGAAAGCAAGCTGCAGGATCTGGAACTCATACATGGTTGGCCATGTAGGAATCCAGTGAGAAATCTCCCTCCAGGGGGGATGACCACACCGCACTCCCTTCTCCTCCAGCTCCATTCTCCTCTTGGGATTTGGGCGCACATGCACTTGGCGTGAGTTTAAGCCACTGAGTCCAGCACTTGAACCACAGTCAACTACATGGGAGTCCAGTAACATAGCCATTATGACAACTACTGGTCCCTCAGCCTATGTCTTTTTAATATCACAGTTGAGACTGTCTCTCATGAAGACACCACTGACCATTCAGGATGATGGTTTTCTCTGTCTTCTCTGTACTTTTCCAGGACCTATTACCTGTGAAACTTGTTAAAAGTTCAAAAATGGGGGCCAGCAAGTGGTGTGGTAGTTAAGGCTCTGGACTCAGACAAGGCCAACCATGATTCAAGTTCCAGAACTGGTGACTTGAAAAGTCATGCCAGGCATGTACATGTGCTTGCCCAGAGTCCCAATAGGAGAATGGAGAAGGGATTGCAGCCTGGTCATCCTCCCTGAGAAATGACTTCTCACTTTCTATCTCTCTTTCCCCATCTCTCTCTCTTTCTCTATTTCTATTTTTCTGTGGTGAGCACATGAGTCCAATGGCAAAAACGTAAATAAATACATACATACGTAAAACCCAAATATGGGGCCAGCAGGTGGTATGATGATTAGGGTACTGGACTCCCACATGGTCAAACACAGTTCAAGTCCCAGAGCCAGTGGCTTGAAACTAACACTGAGCATGTGTATATGCATGCCCAAAATCCCAGGAGGAGAATGAAGAAGGACTGTGTCATGGCCAACCCCCTGGGGGGTGATTTCTTGCTTTCCCTCTCATTGGCTCTCTGGTAAAAACCTAAAAGAAAAAAAATCCAAATATGGGGCTGGATCCATAGTGCAGAAGTTAAATGCTGTACATGGAGAGCCAAATCCCATACAGCCAACTGTAGTTTGAATCTGAGTCCCAGCCCCAGCGACTTGAAAAATACACTGGGTGTATGTGTGTGTGCTCCAAATCCTGATGGGATGGAAAAAGGGAGGGGAAAAAAAAGACTGTGACACGAACATTCCCTACTGGGGACTGCATTCTCTCTCTTGTTGTCTCTCTCCCTCTCTCTCTCTGGCAAATGTACCTGCCACCTGGCAATTTTTAAGAAAATCTACGTATGTACAACTATTATATGTAAATTAGAAATTACAATAAGAAAAAGGAACTCATTAAAAATATCATGGAGTCCCAAATCCTCACCTTTTTTGACATTGACATTATTTGCAGTATTACAAAAATTCTTGGTTTGGGGGCTGGCAGGTGACATGGTGGTTAAGGGCACTGGACTCCCACATGGCTGACTGGTTTGAGTCCTAGACCTGGTGGTTTGCTTTCTCACGTTCCCTCTCTCTTTCTCTCTCTCGCTCTGTCCCTCTATGATCAAATTAAAATAAATAAGTAAATAAATAAAGTTAAATTAAATAATTCTTTTTAAAAATCCTTGTTGTTTATGATTCATATCGATATGAAACTTTCTACACTCTTAATTTCTATCTGTTCAAGTGTGTTTTTTCAAGGGTGGGAGGTATAGCAACACATCTTTTAGCCTCCCCGCACATTGTTGCTTCTATTTATTGAAATTTATGACCTATAAGTCACTGTGCTAGGCCCTTTACCTATAAATAGATTCTTATTTAATCAACACAACCTGTCATTTAGGGCCAGCCGGTGGCATGGTGGTTAAGTTGCTGGACCGAAAATGGTTTTGAGTCCTGGACCTGGCAGCTTGTTTTCTCAATTTCCTTTCTTTCTCTCTGTCCCTCTCTGGTAAGTGCACATGCCCTATAGCAATTTTAAAATTTAAAATAATAATAATAATAAATAAAATTAAATAAATCTTTTTTTTTTTTTTTTTTTTTTTTTAGAGAAAGAGATTTTTTTGCTATAGGCTGAGTGTGCTCACCAGAGAGGCAGAGCCAGAAAGTGAGAAATCAACCCCCAGGGAAATGGCCACTCCGCAATCCCTTCTCCTCCATTCTCCTCTCAGGATTTTGGGCACACATGTACACACACAGTGGCGTTTCAAGCTGCTGGGTCTGGGACTGGGACTGTGGTCAACTGTGTGGGAGTCCAGTGACATAACCATTTTGTCATCCACTGGTCTCAATAAAAAACTCTTTTAAAAAAAGAAGTACGTCATTGATTATTTAGTGGGAAAAAATTTAAGATTGCTAGTAGAGCAACAGGAAGGCAGTCAATCTTTCTGAGTCCACTGTTCCTTTAAGATCCATGTTCAGAACTGAGAAAACTTCGAAATTCAATTACCTGGCAAAGTACACTCTTCCTCTATATTACAAAAACTCCTGGCAACAGTTTTCCAAAGTTGTGAGATATCCAAGTACATTGCTTCCTGGTCATTTTTCTAAGCTCTCATGTAAGAAGATAACCTGTCTTCAAAGGAATAATCTTTTACTACATACATATTCTCGCCATTGGTGACTCTAAGCACTATCATAATTAAGTATATTTTACATGTCATAGTTGAAAGAGCATGTATGATCTTAGAATGGCTTTGAGTGGAGGGTATATATTGGGTCATCAGAAAAGTCGTAATATATTTTTTCATCGAAAACTACATCCTGGGGACCAGCATATAGTGTAATGGTCACATTGCTGGACTCACATTGTTGACCACAGTTCAAGTCCTGGACCTGGTGGCTTAAAACTTAACACCAGGTGCATGTGCGTACATGCCCAAAATCCCAAGAGGAGAATGGAGGAGAAGGGATTGTGGTTAGGCCATCCCCCCTGGAGAATGATTTCTCGCTTTCTGTCTCTCTGTTTCTCCAGTGAGTTCACATGCCCTATAGTAAAATTTTCTCACTCTAAAAAACAAAAAAGGAAGAAAGAAAGAAAGAAAGAAAGAAAGAAAGAAAGAAAGAAAGAAAGAAAGAAAGAAAGAAAGGAAAGAGAAGAGAAGAAAAAAAGAAAAGAAAAGAAAAGAAGGGAGGGAGGGAGGGAGGGAGGAAGAAAGAAAGAAAGAAAGAAAGATACATTGTGACTTTTCTGAGGACTCAATAGTTTTTGACAAGTAATGTAAATCCCAAGAACCTTAATTAAAATACTTGCTATTTATAAAATAGTGATAATAATACATATATCAAAGGCTATTATGAGAATTAAATATAATAAAGACATGTTTTCTTTTTCCCAAGACTTTATACGGAGTACACTTTCACCCAGTTTAAAATCTACAATACAAAAACTAAAACAAATTAAACAAAAACCAAGGAGACAGAAATTGTTTTAGAGTGAATGTCACTGTTACCTAACTATATCCAGAAACTGGGGTGAGCTGCTTACATTTGTTCTAAGTGTGGACAGTCTTTATACTGATATCCACATGGTCTTTGCAAAGATTAGAATGCTGCTTTTTTTCCATTTAAGGAGTGAAGTGGAAAATTCATCCACCACCTGTTAAGTGAAAAGTTTCAATGACCACAGTGTGCTTTCTTGGATATAAGAACAGCACTTAGACTGGCCAGCAGATCTGCTCTCTGAATGCTGCATTTTAACAACCGCTCCCACAAGCATTTGATCTTCATCAAAGTCAGAGGCACACAGAGAAAATGGGCGATTAGGATTATGAGCACAGTTTGTAGCCATGAACTCATTCCCAGTGGGAGATCAACTCAATGATAGAACTCTTAACTAGTAACCTGGATCCTCCGTTACATGGATCATAATGTTGCTAAGGAGGCAATAAAACCAAGCCCCATGCCAGCCCCTAGCACTGAAGTGCCAAGTATGGGTATCTAAACTCTCTGCAGAGCCCACCTGTGACTTCCTTGGTACAAGAGATGCTAGAGTGAAACAAAGTAAATAATACACTGATTCAAACCTGCTTGGCTGTATGGCTTATTTCCACAGCCAGATCCCCTCCGGAATTCCCAAGGCCAATGATAATGACTCTCTTCCCAGTGAAAACCTCTGGGCTCTTATAGTCTCGACTGTGGAAGTACTGTCCTTTGAACTTCTCAATTCCTGCACGAGAAGGGAAAATGATTACAGGTACTCTTCACTGAACGAACGAGTTCTGTTCCTACGACTAGGTTATCAAGTAAATTGGTCTATAAGCAAGGAGCTTAAGGCAAATGTCTTGTGGTATGTCCTGGTCCTGTAGGGTATGTATTTTTCAGTATGTACAAATTTATAAATGAAATCTGTACTCTTACGTGATTGTGTACGCTTCGTGTCATGAATACTTACCAACTGCAGGAACAAGACAAAAGACTGAGGAAGGGGACTCCAGAGACTCACACAGACTGAGAAGGGATTCCGCATACTGGAGCACTGGTCATAAATTCAAGTGGTCATTAACTAGGTAGGTTGTTACGCGAGGAGCTACTAAATTGGGTGACGTTATTTTCAAACCACTTCATTTTTTTTTTTTTGCACAAAGTTTAAGCATATATTCTCCATATGTTCTCCACTTACTCAGCTACTCTCTTACAGCTACTCTCTTGCCTTTCTGAATATTTTTGCCTGTTTTCTTTCCCTCTAACCTCAGAACAGAACTTTGTGATTCCTTATCATAAGCAGTTTGCTTAACTCAGGATTTGTTTGTACATTAGATCTGCAGACTATGAAATCCAAACTGTCTCAAGAAACCTCTACTCTCCTTTGACTTTTCATCCACTTAAATACATAATCCCATTTCAATTCGAGTATATATGTTTTTATATACTCTGGAGCGTGAGTCCCCAACCAAGGGGCCAGGGACTGGTGCCAGTCTGTGTTTTGCTGGGTGACCCCTCTTCCTGGTCATTCAGTGAGGGCTGGGCAGTGAGAAAGCAAGTGAGCCTTCATCTGTGTTTGCAGCTGCTCCCCCTCCCTGGCACTGCCGCCTGGCTGTGCCTCCTGTTAGATCAGTGGTGGTATTGGATTCTCATGGGAGCATGGACTCTATTGTCGTGTGATTGTTTTATTGTATACTGCAATATGGCAGTGGTGGGAATGGGGTTCATGGTGGATGCTGTGCATTTGGGTAATCCTGGGACCAATATCTACCCCCTGTTCTGGGGAGGGATTGTCTTCCATAAGGCCAGTCCCTGCTGCCGGGAAGATTAAGGATCACTCCTCTAGAGTATAAAAGGGTAGATTAAAAAAAAAAATGAAAATCCAGGCCAGAGACTAAAATTGAATTCTTCAAGCTTTCATTTCTTCCTTAGGAACTCAATATTTCTATTTGTTTCCTGAAGTGCTGAAAAATTCTTCATTCCACTTAACACTGATCAGGAACTCCACATTCTTTCTTTTGATCCTTAGAAAAACTTAAGTAATTTTGAAATTAAATAGATAGCTTTTAATTTCCATATAACCTCAAAAATTACCATGCTCTCTACTTTACAATGGTAATAATACTAGTTACCCCAACAGCTTTCACAGAAACGTGCAGGATTAGGGTAAGCTTTATTTCACCCCCAAGTAGGAATCACTTGGACCACTATTCTCCCATTCCTCAGGGGTTAGCTCACAGACACGACTCAAGGGGTCTGCTATCCGATAGGTTACTCACCAGGGAAGCTTTCCAGAGGAAGGTGAGCGTTGGTGTGATGGCCAGTGCAAACCATAACGGCATCAAAGATATTGACCTCCTTTTTCCCTTCACACTCAGTAACCACCTCCCATCGGCCCGAAGTAGAGAAATCAGGCTGCTTCTTCACACTGCACACAGTGGTCTGAAAAGAAAAGTGATAGCCATGGAGGATTGTAAGCACAGCCTAAGCTGTCACTGAATCCTACTACTGGACATCTTCCCTGCCATAACTCTCCTTGCAGAATATTACCCAAAGGGCTGATACCACAGGCACCCTCATACATAGGACCCATGCAGGGATATTTGATTTTTTTTTGGAGAGGTTTTTGCTATAGGGCATGTGTGCTGGCCAGAAAGACAGAGAGAGACAGAGAGACAGAAAGCAAGAAATCACCCCCTGGGGGGATGGCCACACTGCAATCCCTTCTCCTCCATTCTCCTCTTGGGACCTTGGGCACACACGCACACGCACCCGGCATGAGTTTAAGCCACTGGGTCCGGGACGCGAACCGCGGTCGACTACATGGGAGTTCAGCGACATAGCCATTATGCTAACTGCTGGTCCCGGGATATTTGATTTTCATACTCCATAAATAAGAACTCTTGTTTTGACTGTGATAAGAGTAAGAAACTTCCATGAAAAAGACTAAATACCAGTTAAAAAAGAACTGGCTGGTTAATGTGGTACTCTCATCTAATTCTAGAAGAGTCACAATTTAGTGGTAGAGCAAAACTAAGAATTCAGATTTTTGTTTCCTATTTCAGTGTTCCTTCCTCTACACAAGAGTTACATTTTTGTTTCCTCAGTAACTTTCCAATGATTATTTCACTGGTAGTTGTGGTAATCATATAAAATAATGTATTAAAAGTACTTCAGAGGGACCAGCAGTTAGCGTAATGGCTATGTCACTGGACTTCCACGTAGTCGACCACGGTTCGAGTCCCGGACCCGGTGGCTTAAACTCACACCGGGCGCGTGTGCGTACGTGCCCAGAATCCCGAAAGGAGAATGGAGGAGAAGGGATTGCAGCGTGGCCATCCCCCCCCCGGGGGGTGATTTCTCACTTTTTGTCTCTCTGTCTCTCTCTGTCTGTCTGGCGAGCGCACATGCCCTATAGCAAAAACCTCTCCAAAAAAAAAAAAAAAAAGTACTTCAGAAAGGATAAGGGAACTAAACAGTAGTGGACCAATTGAGGAACCAGACAGTTTTAAAGTTCCCATACATATCAAATCCCCTTCTACAGTGGGGCAAAAATTCCCTTCATCTGTTTCACTGCACTAGTGTAAAGTGAAAGCAATGAAATACTATGGCAGGTAGCTTTCTGTATCTGTAAAATACATACATAACAGAGAGGTCATTCTTTTTTTATTTTAAGAGAGATTTTTGCTATAGTGTATGTGTGTGCCCTTACCAGAAAGCCAGAGAGAGGGAAAGTGAGAAATCACCCCCCCGTGGGGATGGCCACACTACAATCCTTTCTCCTCTATTCTCCTCTCAGGGTTTTGGGCACACCCACACAGGTGCCTGGTGTGAGTTTCAAGTTGGCAGGTCTGGGACTCGAACCACCATCAGCCATGTGGGTGTTCAGCACATAAACTTCTATGCCACCTGCTAGCCCCCAGAGAGACCATTCTATCAGTATTTGTGAGTTATAAAGAGGACAGCGTGAACTCTTTGCCTAGATAAGATAGATATCTGGATAGAACAAGCTAATCTATTGTTGTAAGTACTGGCAAATGAAGCCACATCAGTCATTTACTTGACAAACAACTTCAAACATGAACATATTTACAGAATTCTGTACCTTAAATCGAATATACTTTAGAAGGTCAAATTCTTTGGCATACATCCTGAAATATTCCAAGACATTGGAGTTGTGCATGAAGTTGGGATAATGATCTGGGATGGGATAGTCACTGAAGCACATCATCTCCTTAGAAGTATTGATGATCACTGATTTGTAAATACTGGCTCTTCCTTCTTCAGGATTTTCCTGTGGCAAATAAGAAGCACTCATAGCCACTTGAGAATTAACCTCATGATTTTAATAACCAATAAGCATTTGAAAAGTTTTGCTAAAGAAATACCAATTAAAACAAGTTATATGCATACACACATGTGCATGCACACACACACACACACACACAGACACCTCCATATCTCCCAGTATTTGTGCCTCTGTGTAGTCATTTTCCCTTGAATCTAAGCTACCCCTTTTAAAAATCTGTTTATTTATTCTATGAGAGAAAGGAACAGAGAAAGAGGAATCTCCAACAGGTGTCCATACCACAGTTCATCCCCAGAACCAGCTAGCCAGCATGCACAGGGAGGTCCTAGGATGCAAACCTGGGACTTGCCGTGTGAGCCCAGCATCACAGTGTTGCATTACATCTGTGCCACCATCATGTCCCTCAGTTATCTTTATGACTTGTTTTTGACTAACAGTTGAATACAGCTGAAATGACACTGACTTCCAAGACTAAGAACCCTAAGGAGACTTGCAGCTTCGGCCTCAGTCTTTCAAAAGCTTTGCTCTGGTGGAAGCCAGCAGCCACATAAGAAGGCCAACTATGCTGAGACCACTATACTGTGAGGAAGCACATCCTAGCCACACGAAAAAGAATGTCTTGGATAGAGAGATGCACAGCCAGCCCCCAGAAATGTAGCTGTCCCAGTTCTAAACACATGACCAAAGAAGCCATAGTACATGTCCAATCTCAGCTGTCATCTGACTGTAATCATGTGAGCTTCCAAATAAACACTCCTAGCTAAGTTTCAAGGGTTTTCATATACTGTACATTGCAGTATTGCTCTCCAGAAAACTTATTTCCTCTTTAGTATAAGTTCTCATTTTTCCCATTTTAACTCACTTAAAAGACTCAGTAAAAATGGGGTAAAATGGGAACTTATACTGGAGAGAATATAAGTTAATAAAATATTTTCAGGAGAACAATGTAACAATGTATATGAAAACCCTTGACACTTAGTTGGTTTTAAAAGAAATACTCAGTTTCAGATAAATATTTATGTTACAAGATGTTAATGCCAATATCATTCATAATATTAAAATGAAACGGGCTAGATGTTGAACAAAATACACTGAAATTGGAGAACCACTGCTCTATGTCCTTGCTACCCACTCTGGTCTGTGGATCAACAGAACTTGGGAGACTGTTAAAAATGCAGACTGTTAGACTCTACACCAGACCTTCTGAACCAGAACCTACATTTTAGCGAACTCCTCAAGTGATTAAGATGAAAATTGAGAAGCATTGCTTTAGATAACATTAATCCCCAATTCAGAGTTCTTCTCCCATGACAAACTTTTTTTTTTTTTTTTTTTTTTTAAATATATAGGACGCTTGTGCTCACTGGAGAAAGAGAAAGAAAGTGAGAAGTCACCTTCTGGGGGGATGGCCACACCACAATCCCTTCTCCTCCACTTGTTTCTTGGGATTTGGGGCATGCAAGCACACACACCTGACATGATTTTCCATCGGGTCCAGAACTGGAGCCACATAGTCGACCATGTAGAATCCAGACACCCTAACCACCATGCCTCCTACTGGCCCTACAACAAACTTCTTTGAATGCCTAAAAACTTTCCATAATAATTCCCTCATAGGGTTATTATGGTGATCACATAAAATAACAGAGTACCCAGACAATTATTCTGTCACTGAGATGTCAAAAAATGATGAATTTTCAAAAGAAAGACTGAGAAAGACAGAGAGAAGGAAAGTGAAAAATCATACCCCGAGAGAATGGCCATGCTGCTATCCCTTTGCCTCCATTCTCCTCTCAGGATTTTGGCCATGAACACACATGTGCCCAGTGTGATTTTCAAGCTGGGTCCAGGATTTGAACCATGATCAGTCATGTGGGAACCCAGTGCCTTAACTAAAATGCCACCTGCTGGCCCCCAGATATAATACATTCTAAATTTTTTTTTTTGATAATGTAAAATCACCATAACCAAGTTGGACCCTCTCCTTCCTTTTTATTCCAGAAATGAACAGATATCAGGATATCAAACATTAAAAACATCTAATGGGGGCCAGCAGGTGCCGTGGTGGTTAAGGCACTGGACACTCCCACATGGCCAAACACGATTTGAGTCCCGGAACTGGTGGCTTGCTTTCTCACTTTCTCTCTCTCTTTTTATTTCTCTCTCTGGTCAAATTAAAATAAATGCATGAATAAATAAAATTAAATAAATCATTCTTAAAAATAAACAAAAAACATTGAATGGTTACAAGGAGAATGTTTTTTGTTTAAATTCTAAAATTAAGAATTTTTCCTTCCCATTTTTATTGAAGAATTGTTTATTCTAGGAATCCTTCTTGATCATCCCTATTTTTCTGTTCCATTATCCAAGATCTTGCTTCTTTTGACTGCTAATAACATTTCACAAGTCTTCTTTCAAGTCAGTTCTTTTAATCTATCATATTTCAAATGAAGTGTTCTTTCTAAGATGTGGCTGTGAGTATATTCTTGCCCTAATTAAAAATTCAGTTGCCCCAAGACCAGAAGAGAACATAATGACTACATTGCTGGACTTCCATGTAGTTGACTGCAGTTTGAGTCCCAGACCCAGTGGCTTAAACTCACACTGGGCATATGTGTGTGTGGATGCCTAAGATCCCAAGAGGAGAATGGAGGAGGATTGTGGTGTGGACATCCCCCCGGGGAGTGATTTCTCGGTTTCTGTCTTTCTGGCAAGCACACGCACCCTATACCAAAAACCTCTCCAAGAAAAATTCAGTTGCCCCATTTCCTGTAGAATGAAGTTCCTGTTTTTCAGGTTCAGTTTCAAGAACTTCATAATGCTGTGTTTATATTCCTTATCTCCCCAACTTTTGGGTCATTGGACAATTTATGACTTAGTTTTTTCTATGCAAAAATGCATCATGACTTTTTCAGTGATCCAATAGACTATAAGTCCCTTGAGTTGATTAATGATTTTCCTTACAGCATCTAAAATTATAAAATAGCACTCAATAAATGTTTAATAGGTATATGCCAAATTGTACTGATAAAAGCATATAGAAAAAAGAAGTAAATTTCACATAATGCACAACATCAAAATTTATTTCAAGAAGAGCTGAGGAAGATATAGCCATCTTGTTTCTTTCTCTTTTATAAAGAATTATTTAACTTTATTTATTTATTCATTCATTTATTTTAATTTGATCAAAGAGAGAGAGACAGACAGAGAGAGAGAGGGAAAGTGAGAAAGCAAGCTACCAGGTCCAGGACTTGAACCATGGTCAGCCATGTGGGAGTGTCCAGCACCTTAACCACCATGCCACCTGCTGGTCCCCAGCCATCTTGTTTCTAAAAGTTTGTTCTATAGAAACTTTCAAAATAATACAAAAGTCAAATGCATAATCATAACCTTTTTTGTATTATTTAAAATATCAATTAGTAACAATTTAAAATCCCCCCAAAAGATGAATAGTTTAGCAAGTTATAGATCTCAAGATAATATGGAATTTATCTTCCATACCGCTCCCAACGTATTGTACTAAATATATAACAGATCTTGTCACCCTACTGCTTAATGACTTCTACTGATCCCATCTGGAACACTAAATTTCTTATTTTGAACTTTAGCACATTTCACAATGTAGACCAGTCTACCTTTTAGTTTTTATTTAGTGCTCTGCCTAGTGAATCCCAAGTTACTAAATATGAAATTGGTCCAGAAACATTCTAGTCTGTTTCAGAACTTTAAACCCTTACACATAGTATTACTTCTTCATCTGGAAAATTCCTATCATTTAAGAATCACATCAAATGGCACATCTTTGAAGAAGACTACCTGGAGGGCTGAGGAAAGGGGATTGTGATGTGAAATGACCCTGCTCTCTCTCTCTCTCTTGCATGCACACACACACACACACACACACCACATTTATCATGAATAAACTTTAAAAATAAAAATAAAAATGAATAATGTCTCAATATTGGTTAATTAATTATGAGAAATGTTTCATACTAATATAAGAATGTCATAACAGGAGACCTGGACGTGAGGTACACAGCAACTCTGTACTATCTTCCTAATAAATTCCATAAATCCATAAATAAATTCAATAAATCTAAAGCTATTATAAAAGTAAACGTGTATGAAATATAATAGTGCATCACATAGCTGTGGTCTGTCTTAATAGAACTTAGAGTGTTATAATGAAACATAGCTTATTTATTTTCAAGGAAGCAGTTTATAAAGTGTTCAAATTTTGCCAAGAGGGTACTCAGGAAAAAAACAATTTTCAAGTCTTTAGCAGAAAATAAATTTAAGCCACTTTAGAGATAAAAATCAGAAACCTGATCATCAAAGAGGAAAATAAACACCCTCTTAGCCTGTGTACATACTCAAGTGATTTCATGCCTCTAATTGCCAACCTGGCTTGCATGCTTAGCAGAGACACCAGATATGTGGGTGCACTGTACTCCCACTAAATACTACCTGATATGTACGCTGTATACCTGGCATTAGTGTAAAAGTGACTGGCATGATTATTCATCCACCTAATCCCCACAATAACTCTGTAAAGTTGGTACTATTTTGTAAGGAATTATTTTTATTAAACTTTATTTATTTATTTATTTAAATTTGACCAGAGAGGGACAGAATGAGAGTGAGAGAGAGGGAAAGTGAGAAAACAAACCGCCAGGTCCGGGACTTGAACCTCAGTCAGCCACGTGGGAGTCCAGCACCCTTAACCACCACACCAGGTACTAGCCCCCATAAAGTTGGTACTATTATTTATCCTCTTCTTAAAGATGAAAAAAAAAAAAACAACAGAGAAATAGGGAGGCTTAATGATTTGCCCAAGGTCACACTGCTAGTAAAAGGCACAGGTTCAGGACCCAAGACTGTGCTCCTAACCTCTATACTATTTTGTGGCTGGATTTCAAGAGCAGAATTTTCTGTTGATTACTGAAAACTAATTAACAGATTCTTTAGCCCATGCCCAAGATTCATTATGATAGAGGCATGGTAGGCTGTTAAGGGGATTCACTCTAGATCTGAGTAAGAATTGTTGTTAAATAGAATTAGTCCCCCAAACAGAGGCAACATGCAAAAGGACCGTACTTCTGTTCAACTAGGAAATGCTAAAAACCAGATGTAAGTTGCTGGTCAAAACTTAGTTTTCATGGCATATAAAACACATGTAAGGCACCTCAATACCATTCGCTGGTTCAGAAAATGAGCAAACCCAATATGCATGCCAATTTAGAGATCAATAAAGGTGGCTAATGTTCTTGGCATTTAATAAGTTTAAGCTTAACTATCGCTTAAAGTAGATGACATGTTAATACTGTCACTAACAACTTGCAGGGCTCGATGTGCATATTAAAACAATCAGACTTAAAATTGATTATATATAAGGAAAAGAAAATCCTGTTGCAGTGCCCTCTGCCCTCCTCCAAAGACAGGACTTCGGACTTGTCAAGCAAAGGAAAAGTTCAAAGCAAACAAGGCGGCCAGATTTTATAATGTCCTTATTGTCAGAGAGTTACCTAAAGTGAACTAGAATTTTAAAAAGGAAAATAAGATACTGTTAGAAAAGATTGCAAGAGGGAGATTCCGGAAGGAGTTATAAGTAGATAATTCAGATTAGGAGCAACAACTCAGTTTTCTAACCCCTGTACACTTGCTAATGTTTGCTATTTTGTTCCCTCTCATTTCCTCCTTCTGGATAGCAGCAAAACTTCATTAAATGAAAATGGTTATCTGTGCCACTGTCATAGACAGCAGAAAACGAAAAGCGAGTGATATGTGTGTCTCGTTTTGCTGTCAGCCCAGGGAAAAAGGAACCTCAGATGATGGCAGCTGAGAAATCAACACGCTGAATTCTAGCAGGTTTAATCACGGTCAAGCGCATCATATTCCCTGACTGAGATCAAATATCTCATGCACCTAGTTGCAGAGATGGCTTCAAGTATTAAGGGACCAGAAGGTTTACCTGGAACCTCCAGAGCCCTCCGATGTCATTAGTCCTTTCAAAGCAAACAGGTTCCAAGCCTTCTTCCAGGCAGCACTTGATAGAGCTGAGCCCGCTGGCTCCTCCTCCAATCACAGCAACTCTTTTCTTGGACATGGTCTCCAGAGATCTTCACCTGGCTGGGTCGATGTCACTTCTTCTAAAGAAAAGATGACAGCAGACAGAAAGTACACATCGGTCAACACTTTTCAAGAAAGACCTTGGCTATAGTAACCAAATAAGTGTAGTAACAAGAAGTGCCTTTGGAGAAGTCAGATTCCAGGGTGCTCTTAACTTTAGGGAATCACTACGTCCGCGAGATAGGGGAGCCCTGTGCTTGCAAGTCCCGGAGCTGAGAACGCCTTGCTGAGTACCTGCTCTTTCTATCTTTGCTGAAGTACCAGCAGATCCTCTAGTGGGTACTCAGAGGCTATTCTGGCTCTCGGCTGTTTTCAGTTCTATAAATTAACCACACACAAACAGCAACAGCCAATGCGGAGGGACCATTCGGCTCCGCCTGCTGTCAGCTACCACCACCCCGCCCACTCATCTGCGCCGGTTCGCCTCCTCTTAACCGGTTAAAACCTCGACTGCAAGTGTTTGGGGCAGGAAAAAAAAAAAAAAAAAAAACTACAACTTCTCTACTTTTCAGTAGCAGTTGCCCGCATTTTCAGCTACTCTCTACAGACTCAGTGGCCTAACTCCATCCCTCCCTGCCTCTCCGCATCCACATTTAACTTCCTGGTTTTTGTCTTAAAGGGACAAACTCCTACTAAAGAAGAGAAAGTAAACCCCAAAGCAAGTCTCGCTCTGAATGCTCAGGTGGAGACCTGCTACCTTGCAGGAGTTCCACTAAAAGATCATCTTGCTCCTTCTAGCACTTTCCCCCTACCCTCACCTCAGACTGGATCTTTGGAACTACTCTATTAGTACAAATTTCCTTTAAAATCCTCAAGCACTGACTGAGTACTGGGGTACAGTGAAAAATAAATTATGTTTCCTACTTAGAGAGCTTACAATTTAGTGGAGGAGACCAAAACACAGCAGATCATTGCAATAAAATAAAAATACTTTTTAAAAGTACTTTCTCTCACACTGTTAAATAAGTATTTAAAAACACCAATACCAGGACCAGCAGTTAGCTTAATGGCTATGTCACTGAACTCCCATGTAGCCGCCCGTGGTTCGAGTCCCGGACCCAGTGGCTTAAACTCACTCCGGGCGCGTGTGCGTGCGTGCCCAAGATCCCTAGAGGAGAATGGAGGAGAAGGGATTGTGGTGTGGCCATCCCCCCCGAAGGGTGATTTCTCACTTTCTAACTCACTGTCTCTCTCTTTCTGGCGAGTGCACATACCCCATAGCAAAAACCTCATAAAACACACACACACATAAATACCCACTTCTAAAATGTAACTTAAAATTTCCAAGTATCAAAAAAATCATGTCACCAGCATAGTGAACATCACATTTTATGCTGGGTTACAATTAGGACCCATCCAGCCCAGGGTTCTACTCTGACAGATGTCAGGGGTTCTAGGTGGTGTGTATGGATTGTGGCTAACGCCACGGGTTGTTAGTTAGTCTCTGCTACTTCTCGAATCAACAATGCCCAAGGTGGTTCAATGCCAACCAGTCGCAGCCTTGGATTTTGACTTACTGGTCTCATCCTAAAAGTATTCTTCATGGTTCTCATGTGTCGAGGGCTCCCCTTACATGGTTCAAAAGGTTTAATGGGCATCAACCCACGAAATCATCTCAGGACTGTCCTCGAGGCAAGTACTATGAACACCCCATTTTGCAGTTGGAAAGAGACACAGAGGTTACACAGCAAGTAGGCCAAATCCAATAACAAGTAAGTGGAAACGCCAAGGTGCAAACCAGACAGTTTGGTTTTGTGCAAGGATTTTCAACCATGCTGCTTTTGCGTGAGCATGTTTTCATTTCTCACTTAGTTACAAGTCCTTCTTTGATTTCTTATCTCTCGATCGTATTCCTTCTGTTTTGCCTAACTCCTACCTTTACACATCTGCGTTTTAGTTGAACTGTTTTTACCTGAGACTTATTTCAACTACTTTATTAACTCTTCTTCTTCTCCTCCTTCTTCTTCTTCCTCCTCCTCTTCTTCTTCTTTTTAATTTTTTTGCCATAGAGTGAGTGCACTCACCAGAGAGAGATGGAGAGAGAGACAGTAAGAGGGAAAGTAAGAAATCACCTCTGAGGGGAAGGCCACGCTGCAATCCCTCCTCCTGCATTCTCCTCCTAGGATTTCACACATGTGCCTGGCATGATCACTCACCAGAGAGAGATGGAGAGAGAGACAGTAAGAGGGAAAGTAAGAAATCACCTCTGAGGGGAAGGCCACGCTGCAATCCCTCCTCCTGCATTCTCCTCCTAGGATTTCACACATGTTCCGGGCATGATTTTCACCCTGCCAGTCAAACCACTGAGAGAATGGAGGAGAAGGAATTGTGGCATGGTCAACTCCCCTGGGTGGGGGATGATTTCTTGCTTTCTCTCTCATTGTCTCTCTCTCTCCAGAGAGTGCTTGTGCCAAATAGTAAAAATTGCTGTAAAAAAAATTCTGAGGAGGGTGTCTTCACACAACCATTTTATATACTCAAGTTTAACTTACAAATAAAATACTTATAAATTGAATAGTTTTGAATGCACTAGAGGAAATGCCTAATTTTTTTTTTTTTGAGAGAGGTTTTTGCTTATAGGGTGCATGTGCTCGCCAGACAGACAGAGACAGAGAGACAGAAAGCGAGAAATCATCCCCCAGGGGGGATGGCCATGCCACAATCCCTTCTCCTTCATTTTCCTCTCGGGACCTTGGGCACACACGCACACCTGCCCAGCTTGAATTTTAAGCCACCAGGACCGGGATTCGAACAGCAGTGGACTACATGGGAGTCCAGCAACATAGCCATTATGCTAACTGCTGGTCCCAGGAAATGCCTAATTAAAGGAAAACTGGAGATACTTTTTTTTTTTTTTTTTAAGGTTTTTGCCATAGGGTATGTTTGCTTTCCAGAGAAAGACAGTGAGAAGGAAAGTGAGAAGACAACCCCCAGGGGGATGGCCACACTGCCATCTCTTCTCTTCCATTCTCCTACTGGTATCCTGGGCACTCATGCATGCACGGCCAGAGTGAATTTCAAGCTGCCAGGTCCAGGCCTCGAACCACAGTAGATCATGTGGAGTTTAGCACCTTAACTACCGCGACACTCACTGGCCCCTGGAAGATACTTTTATAAACTATTAAACTGTTCCTACTAGGGGACCAGCAGTGGTATAATGGCTACGTCGCTAGACTCCCATGTAGTCAACCACGATTTGAGTCTTGGACCTGGTGGCTTAAAACTCACGCCAGGGGCATGTGTGTGCATACCCAAGATCCCGAGAGCAGAATGGAGAAGGGATTGCGGCGTGGCCATCCCCCCCCACCCCCGGGGGGTGATTTCTCACTTTCTGTCTCTCTGTCTCTTTCTGTCTTTCCAGCGAGCACACGCCCTATAGCAAAAACCTCTCCAAAATAATAATAATAACTTCCTACTGAATCAGTTTTATAAGTTCAGAGTAATGGGAGAATTAATTTTATCATTTAAATAGTATTTTAAAATGTAATTTTAATAATACTTAAATTGCATCTGGCAGTTAATTATTTGTGAATTGAGCAACTATGTTTTGTGTTGTTTTGAATGAGTTGTAAAATGTTTTCAAACTTGATTCAAATTTTCTCTGTTTGGGCTAACTGCCAATGTGCAAGTGAGATCTCGTCTTTGTTGAGCTGTAACTTAATACATGCATAATAACATACAGATTCCCTTAGTTACTCATGGTGTTAAGGAAGAGCAATAATACAAGTGACAAAATGATATAAATCCAAAAATATATATATGAAGCTTT